CTTCGTCCCCTGACGCTTAAGACTGCTCTGTTTCTAGCATTAGCATCGGTAAAGCATATGGGAGATCTGCAGGCGCTATCAGTGAGCCCCACTTGCCTCGAATTCGGAACCAATGACTCTAAGGTCGTCCTGAAACCAAGGCATGGCTATGTACCTAAAGTGCTCTCTACTCCATTTAAAGCACAGGTAATAACTCTATCGGCGCTTCCTCCTTCGGAGCAAGACCAAGAGTTGAACTTACTCTGTCCCGTCAGGGCGCTGAAAGTCTATGTTGAGCGTTCCGCCCCGTTCAGGGGGTCAGATCAGCTATTTGTATGCTTCGGTGGCCGCACCAAGGGTTCTCCGGTCACGAAGCAGAGACTTTCCAAATGGATAACTGACGCTATTATGCTAGCAAACTCTTCTTTGGGCCTTCAATGCCCCATGGGAGTAACAGCCCACTCAACTAGAGGCGTTGCCTCTTCCTGGGCCTGGTCTAGCAGTGTGTCCATTGCAGAGATTTGTGCGGTGGCCGGCTGGGCCTCGCCGTCCACATTTGCCACATCTAATATAAGTGTCTGGATCGTGCAGAAAATATAATTCACTTTTATGACCTTTTACAAACAGATTCAGTTTCTTTGGATTATTATTTTTTTTGTCAATTAACTGATCAATGATTAATTATTAGCATCGCTAATTGAGATAAGTTTATAATTAACTATATCTCCTGGGTCGAACTGTGCTTTTTTTAATAAAGGGTTTAACTGCCAGCTTAAAGGTTTTTGGGACATGACCTCAAGAAAGTAAGTAATATTGTGAAGAGCAGCGTTTCTCAACTCTGACCCGCAAGGTCCCCTTTTCTGAAACCTTGATAAAACTGCATTTAACTTTCAAATAATACAGAAGACTTTGATTAGTATGTACAGGTGTGTTTGATTAGGGTTTGAGCTAAACTCTGAAGGAAAGGGGGTTTCAAGGGCCAGAGTTGGGAACTTCCAGCAGGTGTTTTGGGGCAAGTAGGACAGTGGCCTCCAGAGCAGGTTTGGACATTTCTGGTACAGGATCTAGCATACATGTTGTTGGTTTTGATGTATTACATACCTAAATGTTTTGATGTCTGTTGTATTGTGCCATTAAACTTTGGATAACTTTTATGTGTTTGTGTTTTTTTCCCTTTAGACCTAATAGCAATGAAAGAGAAAGAAGTACTGAATGAAATTGAAGAGAAAGATCAATATGGGAATCTTCATGATTTCACAACTGGAGAAAAATCTTTTAGACGTTCGCAGACTGAAAAGACTTCCACACGAAAAAAAGCTCAAAGAAGTTATTTCACTTGCTTTCAGTTTGGAAAGAGTTTCAATCAACAAGGAAACCTTAAAGTCCACACTGGAGAGAAGCCTATCACCTGCCAACGGTGTGGAAAATGTTTTGCTAAACATGGAAACCTTAAAGTTCACATGAGGATTCACACTGGAGAGAACCCTTTTACCTGCCAACAGTGTGGAAAAAGTTTTACTCAACATGGAAACCTTAAAGTTCACATGAGGATTCACACTGGAGAGAACCCTTTCACCTGCCAACTCTGTGGAAAAAGTTTCACTCGTAAAGAAAGTATTGACAGGCACATGAGAATTCACACTGGAGAGAGGCCTTACACATGCCAACAGTGTGGAAAGAGTTTCAGTCAACTTGGAAATCTTAAAGCCCACGTGAAAATTCACACTGGTGAGAGCTTTTTTACCTGCCAACAGTGTGGAAAAAGTTTCAATCAAAAAGAAATCCTTAAAAGGCACATGAGAATTCACACCGGAGAAAAGCCTTACACATGCTCTCAATGTGGAAAAAGTTTCCATCAACATGGAAACCTTAAAGCGCACATAAAAATTCACACTGGGGAGAGTCCTTTTATCTGCCAACAGTGTGGACAAAGTTTCAAGCATAAAGTAAGCCTTAACAAGCACGTGAGAATTCACACCGGAGAAAAGCCTTACACATGTCAGCAGTGTGGCGAGAGTTTTGCTCGGCGTGTAAACCTTAAGGTCCACATGAGAGTCCACACTAAAGAGAACCCTTACACATGCCTTCAGTGTGGTGAGAGTTTTGCTCAACTTGGAAACCTTAAAGTCCACATGAGAGTCCACAATGGAGAGAACCCTTACACATGCCAACAGTGTGGAAAGAGTTTTGCTCAGCGTGTAAACCTTAAAGCCCACATGACAATACACAATGGAGAGAGTCCCTTCACCTGCCAACAATGTGGAAAAAGTTTCGCTCATAAAGGAAGCTTTAACGTCCACATGAGAATTCACTCTGGGGAGAAGCCCTACACCTGCCAACAGTGTGGAAAGAGTTTCTCTAAAAAAGGAAGTCTTAACTGGCACATGACTGTTCACACTGGACAAAAGCATTACACCTGCCCTGAGTGTGGAAAGAGTTTTGCTCATCATGGAAACCTTAAAGTCCACATGGTAATTCACACTGGAGAGAGCCCTTTCACCTGCCAACAGTGTGGAAAATGTTTCACTCGCAAAGAAAGTATTGACAGGCACATGAGAGTTCACACTGGAGAGAAGCCTTACACATGCCAACAGTGTGGAAAGAGTTTCAGTCAACATGGAAACTTTAGAGTCCACATGAGAATTCACACTAAATAGAACACTTACTCCTGCCCTCAGTGTGGAAAGTGTTTCACTCAAAAAGAAATCCTTAATAGGCACATGTGAATTCACACTGGAGAGAACCGTCGTAGTTGCTCACAAACTGAAAACACTCCCTCATGAAAAATGGCTCAAAAGAGAGGGACTAGAATTCATTTCAGCTGCTAACAGTGTGGAAACTGATTCAATCAAGGAAGCTATTACAGGCACATGGAAATTCGCACTGTTGAAGCCTTACACGTGTGGAAAGACTTTCAGTAATAAAGGACACTTTGAAATCCACTTGAGAATTCACACCGGAGAGAAGCCTTACACCTGCCAACAGTGTGGAAAGAGTTTCAGAAATAAAGAAATCCTTGAGTTCCACGTGATGAGACAGGATTCACCTTAGGAGTCATGTAATAACTCCCACCAGATAGAAGCCTTTCATGGGCCGTCACTGTAGAAAGACTTGCAGAAACAAAGCAAACCATAGGCATACCTGCAAACTAGTCGCTTTTCGGCGAAATTCGCTGTTTTGAATCAAAATGTCATTTATGTGAATCGTCTAGATCCGAAGTATTGCATTTTTCCGAACATTTTTAACTTGTATGTTCAAAAATATTTAAAACATTAATCTTGTAAAATTATTTATGCATTTGAAATGTTGTGGTGTAAATGCATTCATGGCACCTCAGCTTCATTAAACAGTCTGTGTAAATGCATCTAATGCCACTTCAGATGCAGCTTCTGTGTTTCCTCTGCAGTAAACAGATGGAGTTTGTTGATAGTATGCGCACTCTAATGCGAACATTAAAATTTGCAAAAATAAATTACTCCACTGCTCACAAAGAGAAGTATGAACACCGATGATGACAGAGTTGCACTGTCCGAAAAGTTTGAGGTATAAATGTGCTTTTTTTACTTGAAGCATATGTTGTCTTTTTCCTTTATTTTGTTGTCAGAGTTCACCAGAAAGCTTTCATTTACATGTTAAATTAAATAACATTACCCCCCAGACCCCCTACAAGGGTCATATTCCGAACTATGTCACCTTTTTGACCTCTTGTGAGTTTGCAGGTATGCTTAAGGATCACACAAGCATCTCCGATATACTCTGTAACTCCCCCCATGCTCACATACACATAACACACATACATAAAGACATTATCTTTAGGCCATAATTAAGTGGTTATAAATGTATCTAGTATATGCATGTGTTGTATATGTCCCACTATTATATTAGCCTAGTTACAACTCTTTGTTTGTATAAGTTAAGCTATAAATGCTTATATCCAGGTGTATGAATGCAGCTCTGCTTTAAGATCTTCTAGATATGTCTTTCATGGTATCAAAATGATCTGCTCTTTATTTCTCAAGCAATGGTGTAAACTATGTGATCGTGAAACGCATCATACTATTTCTACTATACTTTAGGTAAAACTGCACCAATTATCCAGACCAGCAATAAACATGCAAACAAAAACAAAAAAATCTCCCGCTCAAAATTCACGCCTTGTATTGGCCAATCCACCAAAGATGGGTGTGACTGGGAAACCAATAAAGACCCCCAAACTCTCCAAGTGGGGCTTCTGTTCTTCTGGTTCCTAGTTATTCCTCTCCTTCAGAAATGCTCTCCTCCTTCAGAGAGTTTTCTCCTTCAGACACAGCCTTCTGTCCTTTTTTGGCACTTTATTCATGAACTAACTCGGCTTGAATTACCCGTGGACCAACTCCTGCTGGAAGACCCACAAGGACAACGCCAGCATGCTACGTTGAACACAACCGTTCCCAACATTTTAGACTCTCAATCCACATCAAAACCAATGCAGGTAACCTTTCTAGTAACCGTCAGATGTACTGTAAGTGTAACCCCTTTTAAAAAATGGTGATGTCTCATTGCTGGCTCTTATAGGGCTGGGATGTAAAGTTTGCCATTCAGTCACATTTACCTTTTTGTAATGCTACATTTATGCGTAGTTTTGCTGTATTATACCTAGTCCCATTTATTAAACTTGTTCATATAAACTCTTGATTGTCTCTGTGTTCGCTGCTCACGAATCAAGGTCACCTGACGTGTGATTTCGGTACATGCTCTTAACACAGTTTAGTATGAAGAGTGAGAAAATTATTCTTCTTGGCCAGGAGGTACATCCGTTAATGTACTATCCGTTCGGTGGACGAATGGATCACCGATTGATTTAAATATTAATAATTAGTTATAACAAGTTATGAGTAATGTAAATTAATATTTCCCCTTTTGCTACAATTTGGCACCTTTTCTTCTACTGTTTTATAAGGCTGCAAGATATTTTAAAACCATTTAAAACTAAACTATTGCCTCATTGCTATTATATATGTACTTTAAGTAATGTTAAAGGCTGTTGTTCAGTTAGGTCTGTTCTAAAACAAATTAATAAAATGATCAGATTACTTGATTAATCATTAAAATAATCAATCAATTACTCGATTACCAAAATAATCGTTAGCGACAGCCCTAAAGTTCAATGTTGTGCAACCCTAGCTCTAAAGAAACCGCTAAAGTGTTTTGCATTATTTGTGTATCTCGACTGTTGTATAATTTAGTTTCCAATTTCCGTTTTCTTTTATAAATGCCTTAAGGTCCACCTCGTCTCCAAGCGAAACTTCCAGGACCTTCAGGCCACATCTAAGGCGCAGGTCCAAGATGGAGACATGGCCCTCCTGCACCGTTGTCATTCTCACCGGTTGTATCTGCAGAATAAGAGGCCAACGTGTAAGTCATTCGGGTCAAATCACACTCATTCAGAATGTGCAGTTGCGGTTTCTTTTTACTAATTTAAAATTCTGTTCTATCTAAAATAACTGTAATTGAACTGTTGCACAACATTGGTGATAAATGAACATATCAGAATGATTTCTGAAGGATCGTTCAATCTGGGAAGAGTACTAAGGCCATTTTCAAACAATTTGAAGTCTGTCATTCTACAGTGAGGAAGTTTATTCACAAGTGGAAGACATTCAAGACAGACAATCCTCCCAAGAGTGGACGTCCCAGCAAATTCACCCCAAGATCAGACTGTGTAACGCTCAGAGAAATGGCAAGCAACCCAAGAAATACACCAAAGACTCTACAGGCCTCAGTTAAGACAGTACAAACAGAAGAAAGACGGGACAAGTATGGCATGTCTGAAAGGCTAACCAAATGGAACAATGTCCTTTGAATGGATGAGACCAGAGTGGAGTTTTTGGCCATGATTTGGGGCTTGTTTTTTAGCCACAGGACCACTTTCCACAGTCTCTTCCAGGGTTTGATCGTGCCTCGTTGGGGCCAATGGCCAGGGTTTTTGGCCTGGCGAAAACCTTGGGCCAAAGCGGGCCTGCTTAGGCTTGAGGAGTGGTTTTGAACAAAGGAGAGCATCAGCACCACGGATTATTTCATATAGTTACCAGCTATAACACCAGCATTAAATATTATTAGCTCAAAACTCACTTTGAGACAGCAGCGAGGGTTTGAAATAACTTTTGTGTGAGATCTGATGTGGATTATGGTCACCATACAAGGAAGACATAAGACTCTACAGGCCTCAGTTAAGACAGTACAAACAGAAGAAAGACGGGACAAGTATGGCATGTCTGAAAGGCTAACCAAATGGAACAATGTCCTTTGAATGGATGAGACCAGAGTGGAGTTTTTGGCCATGATTTGGGGCTTGTTTTTCAGCCACAGGACCTGGGCACCTCACAGTATAGCCGCGTTTCCACAGTCTCTTCCAGGGTTTGATCATGCCTCGTTGGGGCCAATGGCCAGGGTTTTTGGCCTGGCGAAAACCTTGGGCCAAAGCGGGCCTGCTTAGGCTTGAGGAGTGGTTTTGAACAAAGGAGAGCATCAGCACCACGGATTATTTCATATAGTTACCAGCTATAACACCAGCATTAAATATTATTAGCTCAAAACTCACTTTGAGACAGCAGCGAGGGTTTGAAATAACTTTTGTGTGAGATCTGATGTGGATTATGGTCACCATACAAGGAAGACATATTTATATGCGACGTAAAAGCCATTAGTGAACATGGTAAATACGACCGCCTGAAGAAATCAGAAAAATCAAGTAGGCTATTACATATGTTATCTGTCAATAAGTCTAATCTCTTTGTATCTGACCGTCTGATGTTCATATTTAGCTCTGCGTATGTCTTCAAATATATCATAGTGTTTGTTTGGGAGCTCCCTCTGTTTCTCTGACTGAAAATATAACTATGTTTTGAGACTTCAATGTGATGTAGACCTAAAAATACTGTCTGTGACTACAAATAAAAAGAAACGGGCACAAATGAACATGTCGTCTTTCTTTTGTGAAATAACGGTAATTGCCATGTTATTTCTGTGTGACTAATTTGCAATCCTGACACAAATTAATTCATTGTGATCAATGCATCACTTATTGTAACTGGTAAAACACTGATGCTTTGGTTTTAAATCCAATTTAAAACAAAAAATACAAACAAACGGCTGCTATTATCATGTTTGTTTTGTGATCTCGTTAGAGCCAGGCACGGACGAACCAAATGCAGATGAAACGTTTGACCGAAATTCCAGAATTGTCTCAACCAATGGGATATTAGTTTACATTTTACTTTTTCCGACAACAAAGAACTTGAATGCGACGAGCTCGTAGTCACATCTTCACGAAGAGGAAATTTCCCATAGCATGTAAAGGCAGCATTACTTTACGAGTAAGTTTTCATTCGTACTTATCCATTTACATTATTAAATAAATACCCATGCACACAAGTAATATGAAGAATACAAATTATTTCAGGAAAATAAAATAACTGGATATTGCATATGCAATTTAATATCCCTGCTGAAAAAAAGCAATAGAAAACCAACCCAAAAATTCTATTATAAAACGGAGAGTTCCGGTGCTTGATTCTGATTGGCTGAGCCATGTTCGAAGCTGTTGTAAACTACTCTACAAAGTAACATACACCTTTGTTTACATTTGTGTGTTGCTCGGCAACCACTTTGTTGCAAC